CACAACAACCATCACCGTCTCTTACCACCACCACTACCGCCCACCACCTCTCATCCTTACTACAAAATCGATGTTTAAATTCTTTTATCTCTTCTCTATGTTTGTGATTTAATTTTAGATATGAATACAAATATATTTATTGTTTACTATTTTTTATTATTCCGTGCCTTCAGGCACAGACAATAACTAGTTATTCTATATAGAACACCAATAAGCTAAACATGCCATTATGCATTTATTATATTTAAATAAATAATATATCACAAATCCATATATATTTAATAGGTTCATGCCTCTAATAACGACATGACTCATGAACATGGGTTGTTAACAAAAAATAAAGTCTCAACCAGAACTAGAAAATATAAGCAACAAGACAAATGAGATTGAAAAAAACAAATTGTCTCTGCCTTTTGCACAATATGAAACCCCATGGCACAAAAATAAAACAAAGGATCAAAGACAATGGGTGCCAAAAAAAAAAAAAACCAAGGGCATTTGTTAAATAAAGTGGTCCACACTCTAAAACTTGTAGTGTAAGTCTTCAATTTTGAACCCAAACAAAAACACAGGTTGTAACGCATGTGAAAAAATAGTACATTTCTTTTTCTCTTGTCCATGTCACCGGTGGAGATACAACCTTTCCACATAAACCAATCTGAAAGCCAAAAACAAAAGTTACTGCAATTAACCAGAGGACACTACACCTCATAAATTTCGTCAACATCATAGTAGCATGTGAATGATTAGATTTATCAACGCCAAGTCCAACCTAGTCACCGCCTTAATTTTTGGGACAAAATTTACAATTTTGCTTTTCTATTCACTTTTTCAATACAGACTCCAACATATTTTATATATTTTTAACTACTCCTTTTAAATATTATTTCTCATTCCTTTTGTATTATTGTTTTTGAGAATAGTGAAAGGGAGAAAGAGAGAGAATGGAAGAAAGGAGAGGAAGAGAGAAGAAATATTATAAAATTTTTTTATATATCCCTATAGTGATACTCTAAATATAGAATATTACTGTAGCAAAATATTGTTTAGAAAGGAGAGGAAGAGAGAAGAAATATTATAAATTTTTTTTATATATCCCTATAGTGATACTCTAAATATAGAATATTACTGTAGCAAAATATTGTTTTAAATGTTTTGAAGATAATCTGTTGGAATATATTTTTTGGGCTACATAGCTAAAATTTGAAGATGTTGAATATTTTAAATCATCTGTTAGAAATGCTTTTACATACGCAAATTTCAAGACATTCGATAAAAAATTTCAAAAGTAAAAGAAGACATTAATTGGCTCTGATACTAATATTGAGAATTGTGTATTATTGTGGAAGTGTAAAATCAAAGATATATATTGTTCGTTTTAATCCCAAAATTTTTGAAGGATGTTCCACATACTTTAGAATCCAAAAAACTGTCTTTTCTTTTATTGCTCAAGCAGTATGATGTTTTTACCCAAGATGAATCAACACTGTATTTCTACAACACAAAAACTTTTTGACGGGAGAGAGAGAAAGGGAGTAGGAGAGTTTGTAAGTCAAATTAATTATTTGAGAGATTACTTCTATTGGACTAAGCTATAGGGAAATAATTTATCCAGAGACATCCTACAGGGAGATGATTGAGTGGATATCATCAAGAGACAACTTCCTACCGATGGATATCATCAAGAGACACATCTTACAGGAACATGTCTGTTAATATTTAACAGACATTTATTTTGGGTGGTAAAAGAGAACTCCAAAAGACATGCACTTTTGGGCATTTTTTAATTTGGGTTGACCCACAATGGGTGCCTCGGTTGGGGTTCATGACCCAACGAATTTGTCACAAAAACGTCCCTCTCAAAGGCACTTATTAGTTGCTTATATAAATCATAAGGCAACCAATAAACATGACTAATCTATCTATACTACTAATAAAAAAAAGTTAAGTGAAAAATTTTTAATTGACTATTATATCCCTATTAAAAAGGTTAAGACCAATTATATCCTTATGTATTTAAATATCAAATATTAATTAAATATTCAAATGACCTTTCATATATTTTCACTTCTACACAATGTATACTATTTCACAAGTTGATGACTCTCTCTCTCTCTCTCAAATTCTTTTCACCAACTATTTAGTTTGCAATACAAATATTATTTAATTATATTTTTACAGCCACTTTCATTGCCACTTAATTTCCTATTGATTCATTGATACACTTATGCATGATTGTTCAAATAATAATATATAAAAGGTCACTTTTTTACCTTCAAATAATTGGATTTTTAATCCTTCCTCCAACACATACCATAAAGCTTCAATTTCGTTTCATTTACTTTTTGATCTTTCAAATTCTAACTTAATACGGTATCCAAATTGAATCTATTTATTTCATACACATTCTCTCTTCTTCTATAACAATCGAAACACAAAAGTCAGAAAGCTCCGATAGTTGTTAAGTTCCATAATTATGTGAATTATTTTCTTTATTTCTCTTTCCACCAACCAATGGATCTCACTTTTTGTGCCTGTTTTTGTATAATGTATGTGAATGTGTATGTTCCATTTATTTTCTAGTTCTAATTAAAATTTACTTATTTTGACAATGAAGAAAACTCAACATCTAAAAGTGATGGACGGTGAATAACATATGAAGACGATGATCTGACATGAGATGTGACCATAGTTTTGTTTAATTTCACTATTTTGTATTGATTTTGACTAGATAAATGTTGAAAAAATTGGACAAGTTTAGTGGTTTGGTCAATATAAGTTTTCAAGAATATACGATCAAGCATAAAATACAGAGAAATAATTTATCAAAACACAAGAATATTGCTATTTACTAAGATGTGCAAATCCTCCATAATAAGACAACATAAAATTTATATAGTAATCTATTGTTTTGTATAATCTAACATAACTATTAAATATGCTCATGCACTCATTCCTCATAATTTTAGGAGGTAAATTTGTTTAGTTTGTTATTTGTCTCAGCCTTACTCACAGACCATCTCCTCAAGGTGAAGTGGAAAAAAATCTATACAGATTGGGAGGATGAAATAACTTCAGCTAGCCGGCACTACACGTAATTAAGGTTATGAAAAAAATGAAGAAAAATTATTTGGCAAAAGGTTGCTGGTAGAATCTTGACAACATCTTAATTTCAATTAGAAACCCATTTTATTTTTTAAATGATAGGAAATAAAGTAAATTGAAACAAAACATTTAATTTTTTTTCCTAGAAGTTTGAGGGTATCAAGTTAACTTTGATAAAAGTTTAGGAGCTGTTTCTCTTAGAATAGGAAAACAAAACTATAATTTGAAATAGTCTACGTGCAACGCACGTGTACACCAACTAATAATTTTCAAATGTTAAAGTCACTTACTATCAAGAAAAACTTTTGATTGACTACTTTACCCTTAAATCAAAATATAAAGACAATACTAGCCTACTTAATGTTGAACTCATATTAATAGTACTTCACTAAAGGTTGACCGTTATACTAGCCTAGCTATGTTCGTTTTTGAGAGGAGTAACAGGTGCAATCAAGGACCTTATGATCTCACCAGTGAGAACTTATCGTGTGGTCTCTGAATGCTCTCCTTTGCCCCCACCCCTATCTTTCAATAGCAAAAAAAAACTTTACTCTCACAATTAAAAAAAATACCAACATTATTAATATGTAATTCATATTAATACAACTTCATTAATATTACACATATCCAAGCCTTCTTTCTTTTAAAATAAAAAGGTAAATTATTAAAATAATTAAATTTATTTTTATTTATATATCTATTTTCAGTAGTTGATGACAAGTTTCTGAATTTTCAAATGAAATTGTATAAAGGCACTAAAGTCTTATTTAATATAAGACTTATTTTAATATAACTTGGATAAAATTATCAAACCCTGACTTTTCATTTTCTTCTCTTTTATATTTTAGTTTCAATACATCATCTTTAGTTATGTTTATTGTCAACATTATAACCCATTTTATTTTTATTGGTTAACAATGATATAAATATCCAGTATTTACATTAATTTACTCACCACAACTAAACTTCTTAAATTTTGATTAACCAATTTTTTATAATTAAATCACCACCATAACTTAAAAAAGTTTCTCTTTCATATTATTCATAATTTAATAAGTGTCAGTGATACTTTTTAGTTATATATACCCACATATCACAAAATGTATTTATACCACTACTATAACAAATAAAATTAATCAAAATTTATTAGCTTCATGTGAAAAGTTCTAAACCTTAGGGGTAGAAGTTTACAAGAAAGTAATTCATCAAAGCATTAAGAGTTTGTAAAAAAAAAACTAACATTCAGTCTTAAAAATGTAGTGTACGGCTGTTATAAATTACACAAATTTTAAAATAGAAATATTTAGATTGTTTGATTTATAAGTATGTAGTTGCTATTGTATTTATTTGATTGTTTCAAATTAAAATCGTAATTGATTCAAAAAAAAAGGTAAAACTTTAATTAAAACAAAATCATAGCTCAAAAAGTCCACATGCAAGGCATTTGTGCACGATCTAGTACACGTAGAGAGAGAGAGAGAGAGAGAGAGAGAGAGAGAGAGAGATTATACATGGCCAAGTATATGGGAAAAAAATGCTCCAAATAGCAACACAAATGCTGCTGGAAGGTTCAGGACAATATTCCTCTGTCAACTACATAGTCTAAAACTTAATAATTTAATGTCCAATAGCTTCAGAAGTTCCAACACATATTTAGGTAAAAACAAGAGTAAGTCCTTAAACTCGAGTTAAACCCAAATTTATTACTTAGAAACAACTTATAAATGTTGGATGAGCTAAGCTGAAGCTTTTTTGGGTAAAACTAAGCTTGAATGGAGAAAAAACCACAAATGAGTTGTGTCCGCCAAATCCAACAGAATTTGAGATGGCTGCATATTGTGATAAAGTTCAAATCAGTAAACTTGTGTGCATGGGCAAAACAACTGATTAAGGGGCTAAGGGTTTGGGGTCGGAGGACGAGAAAAGGGAAGAAAAGGCAAAACTTCTTTACCAACATTCACTTCATGCTGCTGTTTTTTGTTTGGGACAGTGTTGAACTCAATCAAAGGCTCGGGATTCTGCATTTTTTCAACAAAAGTTGTTAAGAGGTACAAAATGTTTGCATATAATAAAACCATGGGACTATCAGGTAAAAACAGGTAATCATCCATTACAATGAGCTAACCTTAGTTCCATTCACTTTGATACCCGATGTGTTCCTGAAAACCTTTTTAATAGCATGCACCTCAGCTAGGTCACCAATCATAGTGGAAGTAGCATGTGCATTTATATAGTTTACCTGACAAAGAATACAGAGAAGTTTAATTCCGTTCAAATTGTAGCAAAATCAATACCATTTCTAACTCTTTAAGTGTCAAAAAGAGCTTTGTGACGGAGGTGCATCAGTCAAATGACATTGGAGACCACTTCAATACTATATTTTGCACCTCAACCACTTGTATATTTTGTAGGTTAAAAATATTCCACGATGTTCCTTGTTTTATGACCATGAGAATAGAAACTTAGCAGTTTTCCTAGATCTGTTGTACCTTAGAGGCAAAGGAACTCATGTTTCTTGCATATTCTAGAGCCTTTATTATAGTGATATCACGTCATCACAGCCATGTAACAATTATACATGTGGATTTGAATGTTGAATATACTCACCACAACTTAACTTCTTAAATTTGATTAACCAATTTTTTATAATTAAATCACCACCATAACTTAAAAAAGTTTTTCTTTTATATTATTCATAATTTAATAAGTGTCCGTGATACTTTTTAGTTATATATACCCACATATCACAAAATGTATTTATACCACCACTATAACAAATAAAATTAATCAAAATTTATTAACTTCATGTGAAAAGTTCTAAACCTTAGGGGTAGAAGTTTACAAGAAAGTAATTCATCAAAACATTAAGAGTTTGTAAAAAAAAAACCTAACATTCAGTCTTAAAAATGTAGTGTACGGCTGTTATAAATTACACAAATTTTAAAATAGAAATATTTAGATTGTTTGATTTATAAGTATGTAGTTGCTATTGTATTTATTTGATTGTTTCAAATTAAAATTTTAATTGATTCAAAAAAAAATTAAAACCTTAATTAAAACAAAATCATAGTTCAAAAAGTCCACATGCAAGGCACGTGTGCGCGATCTAGTACACATAGAGAGAGAGAGAGATTATACATGGCCAAGTATATGGGGAAAAAATAGTAATACTAGACTGTACAAATTTTGGAACCAAATTTAGAGCCCAAATAATATGGCAGTTGACTTAGGCTTCTTTGATTGGTGTCATGTCATTTGGACTCCAAATTTAATCTCAAAATTTGATCAGTGTAGCATTACTCGAAAAGAAATGCTCCAAATAGCAACACAAATGCTGCTGGAAGGTTCTTGAATCCAAAGGACAATATCCCTCTGTCAACTACATAGTTTAAAACTTAATAATTTAATGTCCAATAGTTTCAGAAGTTCCAACACATATTTAGGTTAAAAAAAGAGTAAGTCCTTCAACTCAAGTTAAACCCAAATTTATTACTTAAAAACAACTTATAAATGTTGGATGAGCTAAGCTGAAGCTTTTTTGGGTAAAACTAAGCTGAAACTTGCAAAAAGAAGATGAGGCAAGCTCTACGAAAATTTTAAACCAAGCCTTGAATAAGAAAAGATTTCTCTCATCTACAAGAAATGTAGACAACTCGATCAGGGCTTGAATGGAGAAAAAACCACAAATGAGTTGTGTCCGCCAAATCCAACAGAATTTGAGATGGCTGCATATTGTGATAAAGTTCAAATCAGCAAACTAGTGTGCATGGGCAAAACAACTGATTAAGAGGCTAAGGGGTTGGGGTCGGAGGAGGAGAACAGGGAAGAAAAGGCAAAACTTCTTACCAACATTCACTTCATGCTGCTGTTTTTTGTTTGGGACAGTGTTGAACTCAATCGAAGGCTCGGGATTCTGCATTTATTCAACAAAAGTCGTTAACAGGTACAAAATGTCTGCATATAATAAAACCATGGGACTATCAGGTAAAAAAGGGTAATCATCCATTGCTGAAAAGACCAAAAATTATGATAGTAAATTTAGAATGTTTGCAACTATCCATGATATAATCAATTCTCTGTAAAATCCAAAGCAGCACATACAAATTGATTTATAGTAGGGTGTAGCCACCCTGTTGTAATGGCTTTCAGTATACCGATAGCTTCCAGACCCCCAGCAGCACCAAGCCCATGCCCTATTATAGACTGAAACATGATAAGAAATAAATATTAATCGACGATTGCAAGAAAACAATATCTATATATATACATGTTTTTCTTATAAGAGCGAGCAATATTAGTATATAGTCTCCTCAAAGCTAGAATTATAAAGAAAATGGTGCTGCATAAAAGCAAATAAAAGAGATACAATGAGCTAACCTTAGTTCCATTCACTTTGATCCCTGATGTCTTCTTGAAAACCGTTTTAATAGCATGCACCTCAGCCAGGTCACCAATCATAGTGGAAGTAGCATGTGACAAAGAATGCAGAGAAGTTTAATTCCTTTCAAATTTTAGCAAAATCAATACCATTGGAGACCACTTCAATACTATATTGTAGATAAAAAATATTCCCCGATGTTCCTTCGTTTATAACCATGAGAATAGAAACTTAGAAGTTTTCCTAGACCTGTTGTACCTTAGAGGCAAAGGAATTCATGTTTCTTGCAGCTTCTAGAGCCAAAGAAGGAGTAAATCTTCATTATGATAGTGATATTCGTCATCACAAACATGCAACATATACACATGTGGATTTGAATGTTGAACATACAACATATGTGGTATCTATGAAGCACGGATATTTCGTTGAGGTTGATGTACCCATATCGGATACGATACTCGTCAGATATTCTAGGATACGTATCGGATACATCTCTTAAGTATTCGATAATAATTAAATATTATGATACTTCACGGATATTTTTGTATTCAAGCAACATATATAATTTTTGAGTTAAATTTTTAATATTTTCTTTCAAATTCACATATCATACAATACATTAACAAAAATTTATACTACTTCAAAGACACATGAGTATTTTTTAAATATTATCTACAATTACATGTCAAAAGAGTATAAAATAAATCTACTAAGTTATAATCTGAACAAAAATTACTTCTAAATAAACCTGACGCGATAAATATTAGTTTTGATTCATTTAATTAATCACTTCACTTTGTGAATATACCATAGTGATACGATATATATTTTCTTGAAACTAAACAGAATTACTAATTTTTCTTATTGTATTAAAGAATTACCAAAATATATAAGTATTAAGTTGGTTCAAAATAATAAAAACATTAAATATATTTTATTATAATCGTATCTTAACCGTACTCGTATCCTATTTTTTTAGATTGTCGTATCGCCGTTTGCGTATCGTATTGTATCGTATCTGCATCTTGTATCCATATCCGTGTTTCGTAGTGTGGTAAACATGTGGGTCATAATACCCCCTATAGTGATTGGGCACGTGGCTAAGATGCTATACTGAGAGGCCAAACAGTGGATGAAGTATTTTGCATTGACATTGTTGCCCAAGTTGTCATTAATGGAAAATTTTCAGTTGTACAGAACCTATCAAAATCAACTCTCATATACTACCATTGTAGTCAATAGTTTGGATTGAAAAATCCTAAAATTGATTTTAACAAATAGGAAATTTAGTCTTCTTGACAATGTCATTATTAAATTATTTCCTCATTTATAACATGATTAATTCTCATCATACATTTTACTTTCACACGATATGATTTTGAAAATTAATTGAGATTCAGTACATTACCTTTATTATATGTCATGTTTGTCAGCCGCCTTTACAACAATTCACTACTTTTTTCTTTTGGTCATCAAACTCATCCAAGCGCTTATTGTGTGTGCCGAATCTTGCGCAATATAAAAAAAAAGAATAGATATCTCCTTTGGTGAACTCGAATGAGTCAGTTGAGTGGTCAACCACGCTGTTTGGGACAGCCTGTGAGGTCCGGTGGTAACCTGGAACGGCAACGAAAGACCCTCGTGGATTGAAGGAATGATCCAGTAAGGCTGGAGAAAGGTTCCTAAAACAAAGAATAACAAGTTAGAAGGGCGCCGGAGTGTTTTCCAGCTTATCCCCTCCGACGATCAAGTCAGTTTTTGAAAGGGAAAGGAAAAAGAAAGCACTGAGTATATTTCATAGTAAAGAGTTTTTGTTGCCTACCGTCTTGCCTTTTGCGAGGAGTATTTATACCTCAAAAGCTCATGATTGTTGTCAGTGTTGTCAGTAGGTGATCATTAGGTACAGGCAGTGTGCGCACTGATTCTGATGAGGAATGTCTTCTCTTCTTTAACTGTTCGGAGTCCCGAGCAATCAATGCTGTGTCATCGGGCTGCCGACTGTCCAATGAGCTCCACTCGGGGAGGATGCAATAAATGCCCAGCCTTAGAGACATTTATTGCCTTTCAATTCCGAGCGGCGTCCCATCGAATGTAGAGGTAGAGGATTATGACGCGGCTGTGCACCCTCGTACCCTCGGTACCGAGGATGCAATGCCTTTTTATATTAAAGCCATTATAGAAGGCGGAATTAGGTTCCCTTTGCCCCCTCTGCTTCTCCAGTTCCTCTCTCATTTCCACCTCTTTCCGGGGCAGTGTTGCCTTAATGTCTTTAGGATAATTATGGGGGTCCTAGAGCTTAATAGGCGTCTTGGGGTAAACGTCGGGCTGAACGATATCCTTTTTTGTTATTCCCTTTTGAGAGTTACGCCTCAACAACACTTCTACCTCAAAGGCAGGGACCCATCTATGTACCTCGTAACTCACCTTCTTAACTCGGACAAGGGGTACAAGGATGACCTACTCATCTTCAGGGGATCTTGGCAGAGAGGTGTCGGTCCCGAGTATGACGGCTTGTTATGTCCATTGGAATGGAGAACGACAAGTACGTCGGTTTCTTCGGGTCTTATTATTTTGTTTCTGAGATTTTCTACATGCTCATGACCCATTCCCCTCTTTTTTGCTTGTGCAGACATCTCCCATTGGGAAACAGCACCTCCACCCCGATCGTCGGTGAATTTTGTTAACTTAGTCACTGTTTGGAGTTTTACTGGCGACGACGGGCTCGGTCGGGCTGCCCACATCCTCCTAAATTACACCCCTGGGTATAAAATGTTTTCGCAGCTTCCCCAGCCTTTCGAGCCTTCTCGGTGGTCTAAACTCTTTGATCAGGCGGCGGGGCAAGAAGTTGAGGAGAACTTGGAAGAAGACCCTGATCGGGCCTTGGAAGCTGAAGTTGAGGGTGAAGTTGAAGAGCTCGGGGTCGGAGAGGACTTGGTTCCTTCGCACGCTGAGGTGGGGACTTCGGGGAGAGATTCCTGGCCGGACTTCCAAATCCTACAATCTCTCAATGTCGAGGACGCCCTCGAGGTAGCTATGTCCAGCACGCCCCGTATTGATCTAGGGTTCCTTAGGCAGAGGCAAGCCCTCGCTGCTGGGAGGGGACGAGGATCGACTGGTGGGACCCCATCTATAGGGACCAGCGCCACCCCCTCCTCAAGAGTCGTCAGTCGGGGTCAGATGCGTGACCGAGATCCTCAGGTAGAGGAGGAGAGGAGGGTCAAACATAGGCACGACGGCCTTGGGAGGGGATCCAGGGCCTCCCCCGCTCAGCAGCAAAGTGGGAGAGGCTGTGGGTTACCTCCTGCTCCTCAGCAACAACAGCAACAGCAACAACAACAGCAACAGCAACAGCAACAGCGACGACAGCAGACTCCTCCTTTTTCGCAGACAGTGGAAGCTGCGGAGTGGAATCCTCGAGCCACTGATCACATGGACTGAATGATCAGGGTCGACAATTCCATTTTGTAGGACCCTCATGTCGCCAATGCAGTGAGTGAGACGCTGCATTTCGAGGCCGACATGGCGGCTCACAGGGGGCGATCAACAAACGTGTTGTTTCGCTCTATCATCCAAAATTCCTTGATGGTAAGTTCATCTTTGCTTCAATCTCTTTTAGCCCCAATTTTCCTTTTAGTGACATGCTCTTTCATTTGCAGGCCACCCAACAAATTTCATAATAGCGGCGCGGTACCATGGGACTAGGATGAACCTTCAGCGAGTTCGAGAGCAGAAGGAAGAAGTCGAGGGAGCCCTTGTCAGTGCTAAGGAGGACGTCGCTGCAAGGGATTCCACCCTCGCGGGGCTGGCTACTCAAATCAAGCAACTCCTCAAGGAGGCCGAGTTGGCGAAGGTCGGCGCTGAAAAGCTAAGTGCTACCCTTGCCGACGCTGAGAGGAGGATAACAGAACAGACACAGCGGCTCTCTGCGGCAGAGGAGAGGGCTGTTGGTTCAGAGGAAAGCTGTCTGGCTCTGACCCAGGAGCTGGACAGGATCAGGGATGAGGCACTGAACAGGAAATCTGAGGAGCAACTCCGAGAAGAGTTCGCCGATGACGTGCTCCCCGCTCTTGAGGAAAATAACAAGGAGTTCTTCAAGAAGGGGTGGGACGAGGCGCTCCAGTCTGCTGAGATCCCGTCAGACTCCCCGCTTTTTCAGATGCACAAGTACGTGCCCTCGGCGGAGATGGTACAGGCCGAAGCCGAGATTGTTGCCGAGGGCGCCAATGTAACGTCGTTGCAAGTTTTGGTTGATCCGCCCGAGCTGACAATCATGGATTTGTCCGACGAGACCCTGTCGGATCGGCCCCCTGAACAAAATATTCCTCAGACTCCCCCCGTTGCCGCAGTGCCTCCCATTCCGCCTGTTTCCAAAGATGCTCAACCTCTTTACGCTGATTCTCCCTTGGGCGATGTTATGGAGATGTCTGGGGTCCGATGAAAGCCCTTTTTCTTTTTGATCTGTACTTTTTCCCTTGTAGCTTTTGGGGACACAAAGCCCATCTTTTTGAATTGAATCTTTTCTTTTGGAGTACTTAATTCTTTCTTGCGTATACTTTTGTAGGAATCCTTGAACTGTCCTAGGAGGCTTGCTCCTGTGTTTATTTCGGGGCCGAGAGTCTTTGTACTCTGTCCCCAGGGCTTTGCCCTTCTAGGAGGCTTGCTCTTGTGTTTGTTTCGGGGCCGAGAGTCTTTGTACTCTGTTCCCAGGGCCTTGCCCTTCCAGGAGGCTTGATCCTGCGTTTGTTTCGAGGCGAGAGTCTTTGAACTCTGTCCCCAGGGCCTTGCCCTTCCAGGAGGCTTGCTCCTGTGTTTGTTTCGGGGACGAGAGTCTTTGTACTCTGTCCCCAGGGCCTTGCCCTTTATCTTTGTCGTTGGCAAGCATTGAGGGAGATAAAATACTCAAAAATAGTATTTCTTTAGATTCATCACATTCCACGGTCGCGTTACAAGTTTTCCTCCATATCTTCTAATCTGTATGACCCGGCGCCTCCGATAGATATCACTTTATAAGGCCCTTCCCAGTTAGGTCCCATTTTTTCTTCTGTTGGGTCACGGGTATTGGCCGTTATCCTTCTGAGGA